GGAATTGGACAGTTCAAGAATATTGTTTTCAGAAAAGCTCGGATCGTATATAGGGATTTCGGGATTTGACCAATTCAAGAATATAGTCTTTGATTTTTCCAATTAATTAGGCATATAATTATAAGCATTGTGATTTTGTTAATAAATTGCTCTAAATATATCTATATCCTAAGTTAAATCAATTTAACTTTCATTACATACAATAAAAAAAACTTAACGTTTAATGGCCTTTCATTACGACAATAATCAACACAAATATAGTTTATTAGTTTTTTCCCTTATTATCGTATACGATCCCGGATCCCGGGCGTCCCGGATCCCGGCCAGTAAATACATACGCTAAATACCGGAAAGGTAAAATGACCGGAAAAAAAGGAAAAAGAAAAAAATGCACAGAACCAGATGTCGTTTATGTTAATTAACCAAACGAAAACTTACTACAGAGTAAACAGGACTGGTGAAATCGCTAAATCAAAAGTCAGTGTAAATATGATTTACTGAAAAGAATCCATGAAAACAAACATTTTAATCATCAATATATCTTTGCGCTCAAAACAATACTTGCTGCTTTTTAAAAATGGCGTGAAAATTGAAGGTTTTTTGACGCTATATAAGATCAAATTTGATTGGCTAAATAATTTTGGATCCTAGCCCTGATAGATAAATTTTGTAGAAAGCTGGAAGCTAAGCTTCGATTAAATTTTTGGATTGATTCGGAGTTTTAGGTTGTTTCTCAGTAAAATCCTATCGTAATACCGGCTCGCCGTGGCGAGCCGGCATAAAAGTGATCACGTTACAATAAAGTTTCAAGTAACTAAAGTATATAAAGCCAATTAGCACCATGAAAACGCAACGGCCGCTGTGCTGTAGTGGTTAGCATACTGGACCGGCAATCCAGAGACCCGTTGTTCGAGTTCCGGCTCCTGCGTACCGATATTCATGCGACTTTTCTATGTACAATTTCCCGCTCATGACATTCTATATATACAGTAGAACTTCTATGAGTCGAACTTCAATTAGTCGATTTTCTCGATGTGTCGAAGTAAAAGGAAAGTCCCGATTTTAACCCCTATATATTCCTTATAAAAACCTATTTATGAGTTCTGTCGAAGTTTTTTTCATGGTCCGTATACACCACAAATAAGCCGAAGTCCTTTGATATTTTTGACATCTTTCGATCTCGAGATATTTGACAGAAGTAAACAGTAAGACAGTGTAACAACTACATGTACTTTCATTTGAGGACTTCCGTGACCCGGTGTCGCGTGATAATCACACGCGAAATATTTACTCAAAACTGGTCAAGTTATCGCCCTTTCCTATTGTTACGCCTTTTTTTACTTCCTTATTTACGTCAACGGGTCGAAATTTTGTTATGAAACTGAGACCGATTTATGAGTCGTGTCCCGATGTGTCGAAGTTTTTACGCAAGTCCCTTCAACTTCGACTTACCGAAGTTCTACTGTTTATAATTTTTGCCGGAACTGGGCGATACGTTCGAGAAGAGGGATATATAAGAGCAATCTGGGTACGAGTGCTTGAAGTTTAACTGTATGTAATTTATCTTTATACAATCACAGGGAAACAAAACGCACTACAAATCAATTGATTTAAATGTTATCCAATTTTATAAAGAGGAAAGAAATGCGTAAGATAAATTGTACGATTTCCAAATTTGTTTAAGTAGATAACATTTATTATTACTATTATAAGTGTGTTTTTGGCGCGGATCGAATATCGTTTATATCCAACTGCTATATCAGTATTTACTACGATACAAAGAAGGGTATTCCTATTGGTTTCAAATTGATATAAGGAAGATGGTGTTGTTTTAGTTTTGATTGTGTTTGCTTTCGTATCTAGTATGTTATTGTTTTCAGTCGCTTAGTTTGCAGAATTAAACAAGTGCATACAATATTTAGAATATAAAATAAAATAAATAGAGGATATTCAAGTTTTTTCTATAAATACATGATTTATTTTCATCGAGTGGTATGAAAATAAATATTTCATGAGTGGCGGTAGCCACGAGTGATATATGGTAATTTTCATGCCACAAGATGAAAATAAATCATGTATGTATAGAAAAAACTTGAATTTTCTGTTTATTATATATACATTTTTCTCTTTCTGGACATTAAATTTTAAAAGACTTTCACTTAAATTTTGAGTACTGGCAGAATTTAAAAGAAAGTAGTCCGGCAAGACACCAGTGAAAATACGGAAAATATGTTTCACTGCAGTGAAAAATAAATTTTTACAGTGAAAATACGGAAAATGAAAATACGCATTTTATTTCATCAATATTTCTCAATATTTCATTTAAAAGTATATAATAAACGTTTAGAATATAGCATTCGAATATATTGTATTTCGATACAGGCAAAGGAAGTCATTTTGGCATTGGCAGACGCAACAATGAAGATGCAAGTCCACAATGTGTTCTTCTTTTTGGCGTTATGCATTTGTGGTGAGTTAAAATGTTATTATATTGATACTTTATTATATAGGGAATGTAGCAATATTGTTGGTTTCCAAATAATTTTTTTACAAGGCTTTTAGCATGAGTTTAGTCAATGAAAATTAATCTAGTTGCCTTTCACTAATGGAGATGTACATACCAGCATCGTTGTGGTTAAATTCATGTACTTGTACATGTTCAACAAGTTGATAAAATTGAAATGATAAATTATCTTTTGTTTTTGATTGTATGTCCCCCGAGACTACAAAGGCCATGTTGAGTGTCCACTTATTTGTTGAGAAATAAGAAATCAAATACAGCTTCGTGCATTTGTCAAGGTACAAGTGTGCATCTGAGTAGACCAACCAATACAATTTCAATATAGAAAACTAATCATTTTTCTCATATGAAAAAAATTATAGCCCTGGTGGGATTCTTAACATCATAAGCATGGGAATGGGAGCGATTGTAGTGATTTAAGGTACCCTCTTATTATGATACTTAACATAAAATTGAAATTATAAAATCTTTTTTCTACCCACCCCTTTGCATTTGTGTTTTTCACAATTGTTCTGTATCTTTATTAAAATTTGGCAATTTTTATGCAATTTTCTTGTGATGAAAGCTTCAGAGGGATCACTTCTCCTCCGTATTTTACTCTTCACACAGTAGATGTCAAGTGCCATAAGGAAGAAGTAAAATTTGCCTCGTGCACTTCTGTGTTACTATAAATCTGTGGATCATTTATTTCAGTACTTTCGTGTACCAAACAAGCCGATGCTAAAGGAGACAGAGATGTTGGACTGTTTCATTATCCTTCATGTACAGACTCAATCAGTCTGCATTTTTATGTAATTTTGTTGTGATTGATGCTTCCGAGAAATTGCTCTTCTTCCAGTTTCATAGAAACTTTTGCTCGATTTGTGTATCGAAACCGAATCATTTGCCCTTTGCTGCTGGCTAAAAATACTGAAAAAGGACCCGACCCATTCATATATGTTTAATTTTAAAACCTTCAGGGGTATATGCACTCAGTGATGTAAATTTTCTTTTGATATTTACGTCAATCATATTTTGTAAGACAAAGACTGCTTTTCTCTTTTACTTTTTTTTCGGAATACGGTACTTTATTTAGTTTGTCTTATTTTTAAGAAACTAAAATGTAGATAATTATTATATTTCAAATTTTCATAAGTTAAATATGTTCACATTTAATACAGCAGCAACTTTTAATGCACATAATTTGTTTTTTGTTTGATTGGGTTTTACGTCACATCGACACAGTATAGGTCATATCATAAAACAAAATAAGGTAAATATATGTTACAATTTCCATAAAATTATTATTCTGTTAACTAATTAGTAATTGAAATTTATAATATGATTATAAATAGCATTGGTCTGGTAATATAATTTGATGCCAAATACAATGCCTGAATATTTATTTCGTTTAGTTAAAAAAGCCGACAGCGTATGTCAAAATGGTTACTGGAGGATTGACTGTAAGGAAGTGTGTGAGGTAAATTGCGAATGGTGTGATCAGGAAACTGGAGTATGTGGTTATTGTAGAACCGGCTTTTGGGGTGACTACTGTAATAGAAAATGTTCAGATAACTGCATCACTTCTTTATGCTATAAAAATGATGGAAGTTGTCAGTCTTGTCCGGATGGTTTGTACGGTGCAACGTGCGAAAATAGTTGTGATACAAATTGCAAGAAATGTCATCAAACGACCGGCGCATGTACAACATGTAATGTTGGTTGGTGGGGAGAATTCTGTAACTACACGTGCACTCCAAACTGCAAAATATGCGAGAAATTAACAGGTGCCTGTGAGTCATGTAAAAACGGATACTGGAATATTTCTTGTGACGAAAGATGTTCTGCGTCGAATTGTGAAATTTGTAGTATCACATCAGGAGAATGTCAACTGTGTAAATCCGGATTTTGGGGCCAAAACTGTCAGAAAACTTGTGGAAACTGTACATCGGATAAGTGCGGTAAACTTGATGGACGGTGTACATCATGTCAATCAGGATATGCTGGGCATAACTGCTCAATACATTGTAATGCTGGAAATTGCAGCTCATACTCATGTAGTATAGATTATAGGTGTCATGCGTGTAAATCTGGATACTGGGGAAATTTTTGTGAACATAAATGCAGTCGAAATTGTTCATCAAGCTGTAATAAAAGCAATGGAAATTGTAGCAGCTGCACTTCCGGCCTCTGGGGAGCTAATTGTGACAACCATGCATGTACAATTGCTCCTTATCAAGTTGTACTAGATCAAACGGAGAGTGTAGTACTTGCAAAACTGGATTTTGGGGTTTATTTTGTAATGAAACCTGTAGCCATGGTTGTTCGTCCTTAGACTGTAATATTAACGATGGAAAGTGTAGCAGATGCAAGAATGGACTTTGGGGCGAATTTTGTCAGAATACTTGCGGTCAAGGTTGTTCAGATTCAACGTGTAGAAAAAGTGACGGATATTGCAGTTCTTGCAAGTCTGGACTTTGGGGCTTATTGTGTGATGCTTGTAGGTCTTTAGACTGTGATAGGGACGATGGAGAGTGCAGCAGTTGCAAGAATGGATTTTGGGGCGAAATGTGTCAGGATGCTTGCGGTCAAGGCTGTTACTACACAACTTGTAGGAAAACTGATGGATATTGTAGTACTTGCAAAAGCAGATTTTGGGGAGACGTTTGTAACAAGACTTGCAGCAAAAACTGTTTGAGCTGTAAAAAAGTCACTGGTGTGTGCATTGAATGCAATGCTGGATTGTGGAGACCATCATGCAGACAAGAATGTGATCAGTCGTGTTCAACTTCTGAATGTTTTATAGAGTCCGGAGAGTGTAAGAAATGTCATTTAAATAAATGGGGAAAGTTTTGTGAAAATTTATGCAGCACGTCTTGTTCTTGGGGTTGTCACAGACAAACTGGTCATTGCTTAAGTTGTAGAAACAGATATTGGGGTCAGGATTGTTCAAACATGTGCAACAACTCAAGATGTGAACAATGCTCTATAACAAATGGACTATGCACATTATGTCAACATAGATTTTGGGGTGAAAACTGTCAGAATACTTGTAAGTCTGATAAATGTCTTCAATGCTACATGGACACTGGTTATTGCAGTGCATGTCCGCAAGGTCGATGGGGATTACTGTGTCAAAACACATGCCGGGATGAGTGTCTTTGTTGCAACATTAGAACTGGATCTTGCACATTGCCATGTCCTGATGTTTCAGGTACGAACAATCTTAATTTCTAAAATTAAATGTTTTTTAAAAGTAAATTCAATTCTGGTGCAATTCCTCCTATTTTGTCAATGTAGCAAGAAAAATAAATAAAACTTAGACAGAAAAACAAACAGTGCTAGACTATCTAACCTATCGTTATCGTTATTTCATGTGGTACCAATAATTTATAAAATTAAATTTTTTTTCTTTGTAGTTTTTATAATTATCACTGATATTTGTTTTGTGTAGTTCTCATAGTATTATATTTCCAATTTAGTTTTACTACCTCTTATAAAATCAGAGAAACATTGTAACTTACATTTATGAAACCATTGAAATATTTCAGACGCTGGCAAATTAGCACAAGATGATATACAAGCTGTCGGTATAATTGTCGTTATGGTCATCTGCATTGCTATCACTGTTGTTGCATTTGGATTAAATGGTGTTATAAGATACATGTAATGATATTATTTCCTTCCTCCTTACAGCCTTAAGAAATGAGAGCATGGCGCTCTGAAATATCGTTTTATTATGTAGAATATTTGGTTTTCATTTGGAAAAAAATATTAAAATTATCTTCCTTTATTGAAAAAGACTTTGTAATAATGCATTATTGATATTAGAGACACTATTCAGATTCAAAGCTGGTCATAACATGTATATAATGGTGCAACGTAAAACTAATTGAACGATTGTTTTATAATGTATAAAATTATCTTTATAATGCATCAGTAAAATGGAGATAAGTATATGATTTAACCAAAATTATTTTAGAATGGTGTGCATTGTCTTGAAAATCCAAAGCCGAAACCTGTTACATTGTTTTGTTAAATTTCATTATCACACTTACATTTTTATTCATGTTTATAATCAAGTCAGGATTTTATATTTTAGATTAAGACGAAGGAAATCCAGAAAGGAGCATGACAGAGCAAAAGGTAAAATAGCCTGCTAAAACAATGCCAAGTATTGTTTTATTATTCTGGTACCTCGGGGTCATTGATTTTAGCACGTTTGTTTTGAAAGTGGAAAACAGCTTTAAGCCGGTGGTGCTATGTGCGTGAGAGATGTAACCTTTGTACCGTATCTTTCGCATACAAGTTTCTTCGAACCGAGTCTACAATTTTTATTATAATGTATATGTTTCATTGCTGTTTCCATATTTTTATCAGGATATCATCATATGCAATCAAAGAACAATTTTTTTATTTACTACTTTATTTGTTATGTACGTAATTGAATTACATTACAGAAAATAGTATTCACAAAATATTGTGTTTTTATTTATATAAGTAGTTTTTATCTACGTTTAATCTATAGATGTTTGTTTGTTTTTGTTTTTTTATTTTCCCCCATTTCAATCTGTTTCTTAAGGTTTGAAAGCTGCAACAGAAATGGGCAACGATCCATCTACATCGACAAAAACACGAGATCCAATGTACATCAATGTTACTGAATCTAATCTAAGTGAACTACCATCCACTGAATCAGGCCTAAGTGAACTACCATCAGATCATGTCTATGAACGATTAAGGCATTAAAGGGTTTGAGTACCTATTTGTCCAGTATTGGTCTAATAATTGTTTTAATTCTTCATCAGGCTTCTTAAAATTTTGACAGTCAAAGACTATACAAAGATTGTTTTTAATGGTATTTCTGTTCAATTCCTTGTTACCTACGTTTTGTACAAGAACGGAAATAGTCTGCAAAGGGACATTACTTTGACGAAACAATCTATTGATTAGTATAATGATATTCTTTTTAATTTATTTGTCAATTCCTACACTGTAACAGGGTATGAATTAGATATTCATAATTTTATAAAAAAAAATCAAAAGAACTCGTAGTAGTGTAAGATTGAAATTAAACATGTCAGTAGGCTTGTTAAAACAGGTAGACAACATACACGAGTTAGCACTTTTACTATACCGCGTTACATTTTTGTGATATGCGTAGAGCAGAGCAGAAAAACAGTATAAAAAGTTTAATTGGAACAAAATTACAAATATGCTTATCCTGGTAAATAACATATGCTTTAAAATTCTGTTGTTTTTAATTTGTGTGTTGTTTTTTTTTTTGTTCTTTGTTTGTTTGTTTTTTTGGAGGGGGTTTGGCTGTACTTTTATTTATTGTTGGTTTTTGGTGTTGTTTTTGTTGGGGTTCTTTTCTGTTGTTGTTGTTGTGTTCTGCTTCCACACAGAGCACAAATTGTCACTTGGTAAAGGCACCATGTATAGCTGTCTTATGGTTTTGTTAATAAAGTGTGTGAACTGTAACCTCCTTTCATTGTGTTTGCCATTATTTCAAAGGAACTTTACTGGGGTCAAAAGACCTAAAATATAAACTTTGAAATTTTCACATGTATCAATTGAAGCTTTGAAATGTTCACATGTATCAATTGAAGCACTAAAATAGAAGGATCTGAAAGGGATAATTAAACATATACTGATTATATATGGGTGATCGCCATAATTTGCACTTTTCAATTTGAACAACATGTGCTTGTTTTCGACAAAAAAAGTAAAAAAAAGGATTTATTTAAACTCAGCGTTTTTATCACATCTTTTCTTTTGCATTTTATGTACATGTACCACCCTTCTAACAATATGGCACCATTCAAGTTAACTATGTCATCTCACAAACAGGACTGTTCAGATTTACTCTTCTTTTTAGTACAAGTACTTGACATACTTTAGGCTCACAAGTTTACTGATAGGGATTGGTGCAAACTATCGACTTAACATATTTTTTCATTTGCATGTATTCTGGTTCTTAAAAGTTCAAACTTACACATTCTGGATTAAAAAAACAGTGATTCAAATGTGCTAGATAATGACAAGCTGTATCGCGGTGGGGTATATAGCTGTCCTTTGGACTGCCTTGTTTGCATTGTATTTAGTTGGATATGTTTTGCTTATTTATTTAATATTATTAACTTTATGTGATATTTTTATCAATGATGATTTTTCAACTATAAAAAGGATTCGCATAAATAGATTTTGTGCAGATGTGAAACTTTATAAATGAACTGTATCAATGTGAAACGCAAGATTATATATAAGTTTTGAGCTTTCACTTTTTAAAGATTAATTTTGCATATACCTACAGGTGATTTCAAACATATTAATAAAACCATATTAAAGATTAATAAAACCATATTAAAGACTGAATTTTATAGCGTCTGTGTTATTTCGTATGCAATGTTGTTGTTTTTGTTGTTGTTGTACTTTGGTCTTACACGAATTGTTATATCTGTAGTTTTTCATCAGGAGTAGAGCCTACAAAACTGCTGTAAAAACTGGTACTCTAAAAGGGAAATTACTGTTTACGTTATAATATGAATTAAACTCTTAAGATTTTTTAGTGCTTTCCCTTACTTTCTTGTAAATGTCTTACTTGGCGCATGGACCAAATGATACAATTATATATATGAGAAATGGGGTATTATTGCTTTAATCTAACATCGATAAGTACTCACATGCTATATATTGTTCTTGTTATAATATAGTTTGATAGCCAGTATCTGCATATCAAATAGTCAGTTATTCAGTTTTATTATAACATGCTTTGATAATCAACAATATGTGCTTCATGAGCACTCCGTCCTGTTTTAACAGTTTTCAGTACTTGTCAGTACTGTTTTGTTTAATGAATTATATTTCATTTTACATGACTTGTATATATTGTATTATAATGCATAAGAGGGACTCATTTATTAATCTTATTGTAACCAGGTTACAGAGTATCTTTTCGACATTTTTAAGAATTACGTAAAGTGTACTTTATGCAACTTATTCTGCAATTTGAATTTAAAGATATGATTAAAAATTTATGTAATGAACTGTGTTTTTAGTTCACGTGTTTGACATACTTGTGATTTAGCTTTTTACTAATAAAAATGTGAATGTATGCAATTATAACAATATAAAAGATTGAAGTATAATGGCAAAATGGTGTATTGTTTGTGTTTATTCGTTTGTCAAAAAGGATGTACGATAATATTTCAGTGCTTATATTCAAAGGATGTTGCCGTACTTTTTAAATCTTTTTAAATGGTAAATTGATGTAATGAATTCTATTTATTGTCGCAAAGTTATTTTATCTGTGTAAAATGCAGGTTTTCCGAATAACAAAACGCTGTTTGTTTGTCCGATATTTCCGGCAGTGGAGAACCGTTATGAATGCAATCTATATAACAAGCTAATAATTACCAGTTAATATTGGTTGATAGGAAGTTTGAACCTTCATAAGTTCTGATATATGAACGATCTGCAGATTTCGAAACTTAGATTGTTACTATTAGTCTATTATTAGGGAGTTTTGAAATTGTTGTTTCAAACAACAGTATTTCAAATCATAGGAACATTTATATGTTTGGATATTCCTCATATACTAAAATAACATTTCATGTGTTATTTTTACAATGTTATCGAGTACGAAAATATATTTTATAGTATTTTTTATGTTGATACAGATTAACAATTTATCACATGGCGACAAATTTTATAACCGATACTCACAAAATAACCTTTTTTAAACGCACCACCACAGTAGTCATATCGCAACTTTTCAGCTTTATTGGTGAAGGAAGACCTCAGGTGCCCTTCCGTACATTATTTCAGGCATGAGCGGGCACCTGATTAGAACTATCGATGTCTCATAAGCTAGATAGATAGCTTCCACACATCATCGAATTAAAAGTCCTTTGCGGGATTTGAATTAACAATAATTAGTCTTATTATATGAGAGAGGGAAACAAATGATATGACTAAAATATTATAACGTATGACACGTGTAGATGACTGTCAAACAAATCAGTATGTGATTTCAAGTTTATAGCTCTAAATATATTTCAAGTCATTATATAGATCTACATGTATATAGTCAAAAACACCAACGCTTTATTATCTTTTATTACGACAAATATCCACACATATTGTCCCTATGGTATATATCCAACACGATCCCGGGCTTTCCTCCCGATTGAATCATGTCGGCCCTTTCAGTCAAACTTCGATAAATTATTGATTACAATGTATCACTTTCATTTTTAATTAGATATGCCATCAAGTACATAAGTATATTTTGTGAAAGTCTTTTTATGATATTTCCATTCTATGTGTGACTGAATGATGTCTCTAAGAGGCCCAGCATTTTCAATAATGTCCGATCTGTAGCCATATTTAGTGGTCTTATACCTAAATAAAATGTTCACGTTGTGTGTAATTCACAAACAACATGGCGGCTTGCTTGCGAAACATGACTTTCATGTCAAGTTCATCAGTTAAATGGACATCGTTAAAATCAAAATGCGGAAAAACACAGTTGTATTTTGTATGTTCATAACATTTGTTAATGATATTAACCCTGTAATGACATTTTGGTTTTTGCTCGGCAAAGTTTACAATTTATTCTGACCAAAGCTAGATTCTGAGATTTTTTAATTTGTCATGTAACCAATCTGTAAGAACATCTTGTATTTACCTTGACTACATTTTTCAGCAACAGTGTATATTACAGCGATAAAAAACAAAATACCAGTATTGTAGTTCAAAATTAATATGAAATTAGGCAAAGCCTATAAACGGGGAAGTCCTTTCATTCTTTCCGTTTTAAAGGTGGCATTCGGTATTACATGCACCGCTTCCGTTTTCACTCGGAACACTCGACGATTATTATTGATCCGAAAAGTTGAGATTTGTTCCGTTATCGGAATACCCCGCCTATTATCATTGAGTTTCATTGTAAATGGCGACGCCCGACTAGGACTGACACTGAAAATTTCATTGATAGGTATAGAATTCTATATATTTTTAATTGTTTTTTATTTTTTTTTCTTTTAAACATACACGTGTAGACTATAGCCGGGCAAGCCAAAGCCCGGACCCGCTTCGCGGGCCCGGTCTTTGACTTCCCCGTATGAAAATATGTAAAATAAACATTTTTCACTAATCCTTAATTTACCCAGTTACAAATCACAATAATTTTCTAAAAAAAAATTAATTTACAGACTCAGTTTTTTGTCAGTCTGCAGAAATGGATATCAAGTTGGACCACTGATGCACTATCATCAGATCATTAAGTCATAATGTATACTACACTTCAAAAGCTATAATTTTGATATGTACATATCTTACCCCACAATTCTTAATTGGAAGGTAATAAGCTAAAGAGACTTCAGCGAACAGGTTTTATAGTACTGCTAGACCTGTTCGCTGAAGCCATCTTGTAGGCCGAAAAGTTGCGATTTGTCAATTATCGGATTACTCGCCGTTTATCATTGCGTTACGGTGCCCAACAAAAAATGACACTGAAATATTTTATCCTGAAGTTTACCAAATTTAAAAAGCATTTTAATAAGTTCAGAATTTAAAGAAGACAATATAATGCCCTGTGTTACAAAATGCAACAAACAGAGGTGTGACCTCTGTGATTATTTAATAGAAGGATCTTCTTTAAAACTTCAGGATAAAATATTTCATACAAAAGAACATATGGACTGTACTGAAACATTGAACATATTTTATATATGTTATAGTTTGCAAAGGCTGCAAAGAATTTTACATAGGCTAAACAAAATTGTTTATGATTAATGATATACCTAAATTCTTATACATAAGTAATGGTTGAAAATAAACAGGGAATATTTCCATGCAAGGTTTCTTTGATAATCTTTAGCAACTAT